GAATCAAGCTAAATAAACATATAAATAAATAGGGTATTACAATACATTCTCAAAGAAACTATAACAGAGACTTACCACGCTGGCACACTCCACAAGAAGAACAGCAGCTGAGTGGTTTCGTTCTTTGACTTCTCGCGCGCAAAGTCTGGCAGCATGCTGACAGTACTGCGCATGCTCGGTACTCGCCCACGCAATTAATTGGATCCATTCCTGTCTTTAACGGCATGTATTTGGCCAATAGCTGCACAACCTAAACTTGCCAAAGATTACTAACTATTTAGTATGCGATTATCAACCTCCATTCTGAGTGCTTTCTATCATACCCAAATCAGTAACCCAATGGCAACACTGAAGACATTCTATCGGGTCCCCTTGCCGGCAATCCTTCAACAATGGTACATCCTCCTTACACATTCATGTATATATTCCTTGGCAAGGTAAAATCATGAAATAAAATTAGAGTTACCTCGTTTGGTAGTTTACATGAGAGCCTGGTAGTGCGGCTGTAGCCGGTGTCTGACTGAGCCGGGTAGGAGTCCTCCATGAAAGGACTGTAGAGGTTTGGTTGAGCCTGGCTAAAGCTTCCATGTCTGGCTGGATAAAACGTATCACTCTTGGAGCCTACTATTCCTTACGACAGCAGGAAGAAAGGAGGAGAAAAGAGTAGGAAAAAACCTAGTTTCGTCTTCCAAAAAAGCTGAAGTTAAATTGAGTAAACAAAGAGTTAATTTTATGATGTTATGTAGGCGTGGTGTAAAGTGCAGAAATTAAAAATGGTGGATTTTATGTCCAGCAAATACTACTCAGAATCTAAAGTTTTAAAGCTAAAACTCATCCTAGAAATTTTTGTGGTACGTATCATAGTTTATGAAATGCTGTGACATGTTTATACATTGTAGAAGAAGACCTAGTGGTATAGAAATTACTGAAGAGGCTAACTGTATTAACTAAAATGATTGTAATGGAAATCTTTTACTGGAAGTGACTAAGATTCCTGCAAATGTACAGGCTAAAGGTGAGATTAGTTTTTCTTTTTTTTAGATTTTTGAAGTGTGTCAAGTTAT